ATTTCAACTATAAACATGTCCTATTTCTAGAATCTTTCAGCTCACTGTTATGCCAACCTACAATTTATTATAAGCCTTTAAGATCCCATATCACAGTTCTTTAACAAGTCATTTTGTACCAGTATTTCTGTTTCCAATGCTGCATATTTTTATAAACAATTTAATACAGTGAAATGAGTTGTACATTTTTTTTTTACCTTGGACAGTAATACAGACCTTTGCACAACGGTGCTTGTCCATAGGCACTCCTGACTGATGCACCCACATATTGACTTATTGGGGCAGGAAAGGGACAAACTGAATACTGAAATGCTTGTTTCCAACATAGCAAGGCCTCTGTACACAGAGACGACTCATTCTTACCTTTAAATCTGTGTTTTTACTTCCCAGGATTTTGGCAATAATTCTGGGCATGATATTATTTCCAAGATTTTGGAGAGGACTCTTCTGCAACTCCATCTGTGATTGTCAAAAGAAAAGAAGTAATCAGAAGAGACCATTTTGCCAGCTGCTCTGTAGCAGTGCTGTTAGAGTCAAGTAGGAATCTTACTACTCACTGGTGTTCTTAACTGGACATAGGCTCAAACCAGAGCTCCAGGCCTTACCACCAATAGCTATTGGGTAATTCATACCTAGAACTTAATTTTGTGGCTGAAGCCCTTCTCTCTTAGAAACCAGGGGATATTCTGATGAGCTGATTTCCTATGAACACTCGCCTTTGTGAAGCATCACTGCATGCTGGACCCAAGCTGGTGACTGATCAGAGTGTGTTAATACAGAATACTTGATTCATCACTTGAAAGTCATCAGGGAACATTTGTACAGTTGCACTGCTGAGAATGTCGCCCATACTATGTTGGTAACTAACATAAAGTATTAAAAGTGAACAGAAAGACAAAATAGGGAGGGACATAAGAGAACCTTTTAAGGGCATTCACCTGGATAGAATAATTACAATTTTGTCCAGTGGAGAATGTGAAATGGGTAATTAGAGATCTAAGCAGCAAAACACTTGGAGCATGGAGGCTTAAATCCTTTGAGAAGGATTAATAGGAACATTATATCTTGTGGTTTATCTTGTTAAACGTGACTGCTAAACAGAGCAAATCCAGAACTGATGAAAGGCCGTTTGATTTAGCTACTGAAAGATCATCAAATACTTTCAATTATGCCGCTTCAGAAGAACAGACAATTCTAAACCCCCTTTGAAAAGGGTGTTTCAAAAACATGATCTTGAAGATATGGCACAAACTGAACCATGGTGACATGCTCCAGGTGTTTGGGGTATGAATTAACATAATGGAGTCAACTGGAAATTAGTCAGTATTTGAGAACAAAGTGATTTTGATAGTTCAGGGATAACCATAGCCTGTAAAAACAGATAGAAAATCCTCAGAAGCTGGTGAAGAATTAATAATGACTGTTATGGGTCCTGAAGGAGCAAGTCACAGAGAAGGTCTAAGAAGATAGAATCAGAGACAACTGTGTTGAGCATTGTGTCCATAATGAATGCATCAGTCATCAGAGAATTAGAATGTGAGAATTAATTTTAAGCAGACAGTAAAATGTACAGTCATCTACATCTGTTAGCCCAAGTCCAGACTCTACCTCTCATGACAAAATTTTCACTTGTAATCACTTGGATGATGGACCAGTCGTCTATGGACATGAACACCATTGTAACCAGTATGTCCTAGATCAGGCTTTGTAGGTGCTTCAAGAATGAGAGGGACTGATAGGGCTGTGTTTTGCGGCCAAGCATTAATTGAATAAGGAGAGCTACTGAATGGGCACATTCAGGGCAGGTTCAGGAGTCTGGGTTTCCTTTAGCTTTTGGCAATACTTTCTTTCTTGAAGGATCACGGATTTGTCATTGGCTAAAATTTACTATAGAGACAGTTAAAGGCCTTTAAGTAAAAGAATAAAGATAAAAGCAGGATATGGCACAATTACAGCCTCCACTCTTGACTAGCAGAGTAAATGAATTATCAGCTGAACTTCAGTCCTTCTAAGTAGCCCAACAAAGGATGGCAAGATTCCATATGTCCCACGCATCACCCAACCTAAAGTGAAAAGGTGAATGATTTCTGTCTCTTCACAAAAGATCCTCCTTACTCAAGGCATTGATCAACTAGACAGTATCGCTATGGGGCAAGAAAGATGTTCGCCTAAAAAAAAAAAAAAAAAAAGAGCCACAACATTTTGGCAACTTTGCTCTAACTTACTCTGAACCACACTCTTCCATGAAAGGTCCCTCTATTTTCCAAGGCTGACTAGATTGTGGGCAGTTGCCAGATGGGGTACCATACTTGCTTATGGGCCATGCCAAATGCCAATTCCAGATGGTCCAACAGCTCCACCACCTTATCTATGTGCTTCATAGCACAGTGCCCCTTTCTGATAGCGTAAGGCAGATTATTCAGGAGTGGCTAAAAACTCCCCAGATAAATCCTAAGAAGCAGGCATTATTTCAGAGAGCTAAGGCACTCTAGTGTTTTCTGAGATTATCTCTTGGCAATGAATACCTGGCATGGCCATGGATACACATTACATAACTAAGCAGATATTAAGATTGATTCTCTTGTCACTTATGTTGGTGTAAAACAGCAGTAACTCCATTACAATCAGTGACTCCCATATGTAAAATCAGTAAGAGAGAAGAATCATGCTCAGGTCAGGGAGTTTTACAGCAAGCATCCCAGCACCTTATGGTTCAGACCTTCTAGTGCACATCATCAAGTTTGGGACTAAAGCAGACACTGACCATAGACTCATAGAAGATTAGGGTTGGAAGAGACCTCAGGAGGTCATCTAGTCCAACCCCCTGCTCAAAGCAGGACCAACCTCAACTGATTGGGAATCTTGGATCAGAAGAGACTAAGCCCACTGAGTAACTTTCACTGAACTCCCCATATCCATGGCAAATCCTATTTTGTGGGTTTCTGAAGGCTCCAGCAGCACCTGAACTGTGCAGCATGTTCAGGGTTTCCGGCAGCACTAACATTTCAATAGCCTTATGTACCACAAGCTAATGTCAGACACCTTTCTCACTGCATGGGGAATCCTCATTCAGATTCTGATGCCTATCACTTTTGAGTTCAGGCAGAAGTACGGCCAATGATATCACAAGTACTTTTGGGAAGTATACCGTGGCCTAATTCAGGGGGATATCAGTTTTTCATAAGGCATACTATATTTTAGAGTGATTGCCTTGTTGACACTGGGGCGCGTTAGCTATCTGGAATAATACCTGCTGCTTAGGATTTATCTGGGGAGTTTTTAGCCACTCCTGAATAATCTGCCTTTATCAGGGGCACTGTGCTATGAAGCACATAGATAAGGGGGTGGAGCTGTTGGACCATCTGGAATCGGCATTTGGCATGACCCATAAGCAAGTATGGTACCCCATATGGCAACTGCCCCATACTCTAATCAGCCTTGGAAATTAGAGAGACCTTTCATAGAAGAGTGTGGTTCAGAATAAACTGGAGCAAAGTTGCCAAAATGTTCCACTGCAAATGTCCCTTGCACTGCAATCCCAACACTCCTTTTGGCAATTGCTGCCTGTGCCTATGCTGACCAGCAGTTACTTAGATAGAAAATATTAGAATGGTATTAAGTGGGTTTTCTTTAAGTGGTTTTGAATTCAAATTAGCAGCTGGATACTAAGTGGAAAACACAAATATGACCAGCCATCTCTCCTTACACAATTTGGAAACTACTGGGCTAAATTCTGGATCTCTGGGGTGGCTATTAGTGTAATTTCTGTTTATATGTAGTTAATAGGTAGGTTTTTTGCACTGGCAACTGCAATGAAATTCTGTGCTCTATTGCAATTTAGCCTTCCCTCTGATACTAGTTCCATCAGTACCCGTCATCTTGCCATTTCTCTCCTCTTACTTTCCCTAGGCACTTAGATCATCTAATTACCATTCTTTGCAGGAAGCATCATTGTTACTACATCCACTCCTTTTTACCATTTTTCCTTTTATATTTGCTGTAGACACAGTCATACTGTCTTTTTTAAAAATGCAAGCAAATAAAAACAAATCTAAAGAAGTTACACAGGAGGGGGTGTGCACAGGCTCTGAATGAGGTTCTTATATTGTGTAGCTGCAGCAGTATATAAACTGACCTGCATGTAAACTCACTGGAAGCCCGTCTGAGGGTGGGGCTTGCAGGTTGTTGCTGTAGCAGATAACACGTCATCCTGAGAGCGGCAACTGAGGATTTGTGCTGCCTGAAAGAGAGCAGGTCTCCACTGGTGATGGTCTACTGTCTGATTTGCTGACCGCTTCTGTCAGCCTTTATAAAGCAGAACTAGTTGTCTAGCTGAACTGCAGCAGAACTACAATTTGAACATCCACTGCAGTGTCCCATCTAAGTGGCTATAGCAGAGACTGTCTCACTGCATTGCAAGAATTAGAGGTAGGTACTCCTTAAATTGTACAACATGCACCCATTCTAACAGCACGTCAAAAATATCATTAGACTAGTATGCTTTAAGATTCAAGTTACCTGTATTGCAAGTCAAGTGGGGTGTTTACTTCTTCTTATAAATTAAAAAGCCAAAAGCTTTTAAGTGTTGGTATTTGTTAAACGCCATTTAGCAGCAGCCAAGTGATTGGTGCCCATTTTGGACAAAGAAGAGTCCTTCAACCAAGTTCGTGGTTTAGGAAAACTGACCTAAACTCCTAGAGGCACCTGTCATGTCTCACCACTACAGAGGAAGGCTCCCTCATTAATTCTTGACATTTGTGATTTTGCTTCAATTCATTTAAAATCGCGCTCAGGCTTTTTTTTTTTTTTTTTTTTTTTTTAAGTCTCCTTCCCTAACTATGAAGTCTGTAGCTGGTTCCTCCTGATGCAGTGTTTAATTCTGCCTCCCTCTGGACCATTAGTGGCTGCTGGATTTTATGAAAAGCAGCGCGTGATCCTCATCTTACTTTTCCTGTGTTGCAGGTTCCAGTGACCAGCCTTTCCCCTAGGCCAGATCTCTCCTCCTGTACGATAGCTGTGTGGTTCACAAACTGTTACTGATGTTGTGCCTGGAGAAACTCAGCAAGGCTTCAGAGCCAATCGTGTTGGGAAAAGAAGGAGTTTGGTGCTGGAATAGAGCCCGGAAGGCAACAGTTGCTTCTCCCAACATCTTAACCCCAGACAGGATTCCAGAATTCTGCATCCCACCCAGATTGATTAGCTCCCACTCTGCAAGGGATCCCAGCTCCCGCATCCAGTCCTATGCAGAGACCAACCTGTACCCTCATTGTGAACCTGTTCACAACCCCAGCACACAGCTGCCACATATCCTCTCAACTGAAATTGCTAATAACTTCATTTCAATGGAAGAAAGCACCAACTCAGACCCACAGTCACAGGCAGCACTTTCCCTGCTCCATTTCCCCAAGGTGCAGACCTCCTATGGATTCTGCACTTTGCTGGAGAGTCCCCATACCCGAAGAAAGGAGAGTATTTTCCACAGTGACCCATGCAGCTGTTCTATGTCCTGTCTACTGTTGCTTCCAAGTTCCAGAATCTGCTGCAAAGGAGTAGATTCCAGCATCGTCAGCTCTACCGCCACCAGACTCCCTTCTAGGCATCCACACCTGCCAAGACAAGACACTTGTGACTGTGATACTGCTTCCTCCACTGACTCTTCCCCTTTCACCTCCTCACTTCTCAAAAGATTCCTTCCCAGATCCTGCTCTTTATTTACAATCCAGAGCCCAGAGGGACTGCTCTGCAGGGCTTTAAAGGCAGAAAGCAAATCCAGAATGCTAAGGGAGAACTTATCCACAGATGAAGACAGCTCCACAGACGACAGCCCCAATCCCAATAGACGGTCTTTGGCAAGTTTATGCGAGTGCTCAAGCACACAAAGCTCTTCTGGGTCACAGTCACCCATCTTTCCCCAGGATTTTACTAATGGCAGAGAGAGACTTAGAAATGTGTGTACAGTGTTTCTTGATAGAAGAGGAATCTTGAGACTGTCCGCTGACTACTGTCCTGAAAGCAGAAGGCTTAGACTGTGTCTGATAAGTGCTGAAGGCTTATATGATGTATTTATGGAACCTAAAAGGATTAACTGTTGCATCACCATCTCTCTTGTGCCAGGGAAAGTTCAGAAACAAAGAAGCACTGTTATAAAGAGAAGCAGAAATCCCATCTTTAATGAGGACTTCTTCTTTGATAGTATTTCTAAGGATGATCTTCACAGACGATCAATCAAGATAAAAGCTGTGAATAAAGCATCTACTATGAAGAGAGATTATATTTTAGGTAAAATTGAACTTTGTTTATTGAATATGGTGCCTATCTGAGGGGCACAGGAAAGCAATATAAGTCTAGTCTATTTTGAGCTAGGTAAATTTACTTTTGAATAGGATGTGTATTTTATGTGGCTATGTTACTTTCCCTTATGTTATCTCTTTCTATTTTACAATTAATTGATGTTATTGTTAAATCATAATTGGCAAGCAAAGTTTTATTTTCAGGTACATCATGTGTAAGTGGCTGATATTAAGCAAGGTTTTTTTTTCCACGTATCAGTATTTAAGTTCTACTATAGACGGGACCTAAAGGATCTCTTTACGTTAATTTAAAGCAATTGCAGGATCCTTTGAAATCCCCACTGCCGTGCACTAAGTTTACAGGCCTAACAGAAAACTGGAGTTTTTGTTATCATGTCAGACCACTGGCTTGCTACCCTTGCAGCTGATATGGAAGTTAGTTGCATGTATTTGCCAACCCTGCATTTCAACAGAGGAAAGAAACTTCCTATTTAAAAAACAATACATTAGTTCACAATTAGGTAAGAGGTACTAAGTGTTGGACATGACTTTAGATATAGTTTGGGAGTTTGCAGCAATAGAGATTTACATGTGTGAATTAGAGGCAATTTATCATACACATGTCAATGACAACTTAATCCATATTCATCTGCCCAAGAGATGTCATATGTTTGAAAGATGCTAACTTGGCTCAGGAAAATTCTTTAAGTGCCAGGTTATAGAATGAGCATGTTGTTAATCTATAACATTACTTACAACAATGCTTCACTGCTGCCGCATGAGTATATATACACATCAATTAATACTTGCAGTTACCACAACAGGGTCCTAGCTATTAATAATTTAAATGCACCAAGGAGACATTTCATATGATGTACTCATTCGATACTAAAAGGGATGGCACTTTATTTAACTTAAGGGGAATATTTTACAGGTTTATTTTTTTGCTATCATTTAACCAAGAAAAACTATTTTAATACAGTATGTTCAGTGTGGTTGCATGTGTGCCTCATTTTCGTGAAGAAATATTTAATTTTTTTTTACCTAGATTTATTTGTAACTGACGGGGAATTTTGACAGTGTAAGGACTGCATGACTGGCCAACATTATAAGCAAAATGTTTACAGACGGTCTGTAGTACGTTGTTAATTGTAAATTAAGGCAGAGAACATTTGTGGCACAACTTAATTGCTCTTAACTAGGAAATTGCACCATTGGTGAATTGGTGTATTGACAGTTTTTTAATAACTCCAAAAATCCCACTTTCTTACTTTAAAGTCCATGCTCACATGATCAAGTGTTTAATGCCACCCTGGTTGTACTTAAGATTTATTTGAATACGATACTACCAAGCCTTCAGGGCTTTCAGAAAAGGTAATTCCTTCTACCCCAGTAGTTTGGGTATGGGCTCTAGGGCTCTAGGATCATAGGTTTTATCTATCAGAATGGGAAAGTGGTCTATTAACTTAATTAGCATGCTTCCAGCAGCATTCTAAGCCTCTTGTTGGAGAAGGCACATAAAACCCTAACACCTGGACACTTGTTCTCTAGTGCATCTAGGGGGAAAGGGCTTTCAATGACAACCTGGTGGTACTGAGCTCCTGCCCTGAAGAATGATTTGATTACCTCACCTGATGTTTAAGCTTTGTAAATGGCTCCATCCTAGCTCACATGAGCCTGAGCCTGAGCCACCCTGTGTGGCAGTACACGAAAGTGTGTTCGCATCGGTGGTCTTGACAGCCAGAACAGAAACCACAAAAGCTCTTGCCATTGCATGTATGAGAACCACCTCAGTAATTAACACCTAGTGGGTTCCCTCAAGATTGACTCTAACCATACAGGGGTTAAAAATGAAAGCAACCACCTTTACAGAGAGTCTGGCCAAGATATAAGATAGGTAAAAATGAGGGTAATTTACTTCAGACATCTTGCCCTTACTGTTAGATAGATAGTGAATAGGTTAGGGCTATAACACAATTAGCCATTCCAATAATTAACTACTTACAGTGAATCCTTCTGGCCCATACCAGATTTAATCCAAGTATCTCTTCATTTTCCCATCAGAACCACACCCTTTGGTTACAAGTTCTTCCCCAAACTAGGATCCCAAAGACTATAAGTGTTGTCTGTGGTGCATGTCTCCGATTTGACCTTCAGACTCTCCCCACAATTTGTTGTCTCTCCTTTTGAGCTAGCAACTGCTGTGGTGCCTAGGCTGAGCTTTCCAGCAGGATCTTCCATACTTATCCCACATCATTTTTCACTTAACAGGCTGCTTATATACCTCTAACTGGGTACTTGCCTTTCCTTCCCTTTCGCAGGGTTGGTATGCACACCCTCCTTCTCTCTCCTCTGGGCCAAACAGCTGCCTCTCTCACTCTGCCTCTTTTTGCTCACCCAAAATAGCTCTGCACTAATTCATTCCCAAAGCAATCTAACTGGCCAGGAAGAACAGAGGAAGTTGTCTATCATGTTATCCTCTGATCAGTTCCAAAACTGCAGCTATTCAGCCCCCTGCTGGAAACATAATAATGGTCCTTTCAGTGGTGTACAGGAGTATGCAGTACAAGTGATTTTTCTTAGGAGTTGTTATGAGTTAGCTTTTTGTCTTCCTGTTTCCTTTTCTAGCTGCAAATAACTAAGAGATTTCCATCCTATAATTAAAAGGAAAAGTGCTGCTCTTGTATGTAATTGATAGTTTTATTCTTATTTTCTTCTGTTCTCCACCATGATAGACTCCCACAGGGAGAGAGAAACATCAAATCCATGCTCTATCAAGGAGATCTCAGAGCAGACTTAGTTTTGTTCTAGAATTTCTTCATTCCCTCCCATTCAGCCTTGGAGATACACAAACTTACAATAAAAAGCAGTGGTTCTCAGCATTATCATACCTTCCTACTCACTGCTTTCACGACCACGCATTTCAAACACTCCAACTAGGCAGAACATTAGTATCTTATCTTCAAACCCTAGAAACATATGTGGATAAACAATGTGTGCTGTTAAGTTATGAAGATAACATAGTTATGTTCTGCCTAGATGGAATGTTCAAAGTATATGGTAGTAAGAGATATGAGTGGGCGAAGTTAGACACTGTGCCAATGAGGCTGGAGAAAGTGGCTAGTCCAGAGCATGAGACAAAAGAATACTTTCCTTCAGCCCAAATTCACCATCTTTGTTCGTCAGTACTTATGGCTATATTATGACACAAACTGGTTACTGAACACAGCTTAAGGGGATGTGTTATGTTGCCTTGCTTCTTTGACATAGTAACTACATGCCACAAAATATTAGTTATCAGAAAGCAAGCTGCTAACACTTTTGCAAATAAGCCACTGCACCCACAAAGAACAGAAGCTTGCTGAGATTCATCTGAAAATCAATCCCTAAATGCATATTATATATGTGAAAACATATAGATGAACAGGGTGAGAAAAAAATCTGCATAAAAGTAAAGGCAGATATTTATCTTCATTTCACTAATTCCAGGTCCTCAGCAATATCACATATTTTGACTCAAATGTTATTTCATCTTCCACTCTCAAATTGTTCTGTTTTGCTTTTGGCTTTATTTTATGAATCATTTGATTCCAATCAAGGAAAGTTCATATTTCCATTATATTGCATTCTACAGTTTCAAGAGGAGAGAAAAAGATACGTTAAGTCAAAGGCCCTGGTGGCAAAAAGAGTAAACAGTGTTGTGAGTTTGTTTGGACCCTGCCACATCCCGAAACACCACATACAAAAAATTATTCAGTGGTGATCTGTGTGTTTAGTAATTTTAATATATAGCCCACCTGAGAGCAACAGCGAGCATCAGTGTATCCCACAACTTGATCTGAATTTACAAAGCAAAAGAAGCTTTGATATCTTCTGTAACCAAAGCTATTCAATGTCTTGAAAATATCGATTGAAAAAGATGTACAGTGAAAGAAACAAGACACCTGTAAATTCCTTCACTGTTGCCTGCACTTTATTACAGGAATTGAATAGGCTTTTTATGTAAAAAAAAAAGCAAAGCTAAGGTATGTATTTAAAGATCTCACCATCTTCCTTTTGATCACCCTTTAAGTCAATACCTGGAGTAAGCCTGCAGCTGCATTGGGTAATGTGAGTTTACCATCCCAGGTCTTACATGGAATATCCCTCACCCACTTGTCGAACAAAAGTCCCAGTAGTTTGAAGGTGTAATCCATAATAGCCCAGGACATTCCTTCCTGAGCTCGATTAAAAGGTTCTCACAGTAACAGCTACTGCTTTTATTTATTTTTCCAACTCACAATCAGCCAAGATTGTTTCCATTCATGTGATAATAGGTCTCCAAGTTGCCCTTCAAAGTTTATCGTATTTCAAAGTTTATCATATTTCAGTTTCCACAAGGGAAAAATAATGTTATCACTGAACCTGTTGTAGCTCTGACGCTGATCCTGGGTATAGGTCTTACCAGGATTCTCGAGGCGGGGGAAGGTAACCTGTTGTGTGAACATAAGCAACAGTTATCCCGCAAGTAAGGTATTAGAACATTAGAGCTAGGCATCATCTAACACCACCTTTGCTTTCGCTGAATACTTCAGTGCTGACCTGAAACATCTGCATTCAAATCATTTACTTTTATATCTACTGAGAACAATTTCTAGGATTGAGCACTTCAAGTGAAAAATCCATGTATGACAACTTTCACTCTCCAGGCCTGATCCTTCCCTCATATCTCTGTTACTTAACCTTCTTCTACTTGCCTTTGGAATTCAGTTATCTGTAGAACACCATTCCAGGTTTCATTCAGAGATGATTAGAACCCCCTAAAAGCATGTGTTTGACAGAAATATTGACATATCTTTAGTGTAATCTAGTCAAGGTTTTATGGAGTTTGGAAATGTTAATAGTTATAGTTAGCTCAAATTGTTTCATTTTACTTGAACAATAATTTTGACACTCAGATTATACCCAACCCCACCAAAAAAATCCAATGAGTTTAACTTCAGTTCTACAGTACAACTTTGCTGATTTATAAAGTGTCCAATGAGTTTAATAGGTCGTGGGCTAACCAAATATTTTTTTTCTGGGATGGAAAGGCAT